AGGTTACGCCCCGATCTTATGCAATGAACGTACGGATGGGTGGTTCGCCATTATGAGTTGATCAGATCATATCCAACAGAGGCGCTGGATGTCGTCTGTTATATTTATGCTACCGAGTGAACATTTTATAAAATATAGTGCTTCACAGAGTGCACTTAGGTGGAGGGCACTGAGTCCGTGGAAAAAAATGGACTTACGAGCATGGACGTATCCTGTACTTCTTTAATGGCCCAAATATTACGAAAAATTTTACTACATCTGCTCGACGCTTCTCTTCGCGAAAAAAACTTCGGCACAATATTTCTATCAATGATGGGGTGGAAAAATGCTGCTTTTACGAAACGCTTCGAAGCGTCTACTTTTACGGATGGTCCAAAAATGGTTTGTGGCGTAGCGACGAGAATTTTTCAACTTAATGTTCAAAATAATAAATTAATAATGCCCAGAGTACGTTACCGCTTTGGCGGATAGTTACGCATGTCGTTGAACTGATCTGGGCACCGGTGTACAGCAGCATTCATGGCAACGAGATGGCCGACGAGCTAGCCAGAAGAGGTTCTTATGTATCTGAGCTTTATCAAAGGCCGCATCTCTGGTTATAAAATAGCACGTAAAAGTGCTAATTGAAGTTGTTAAACCAACAAACCAGCACTTTCTAGTGCCAGCTAAGTTAAATACTACATATCGCACGCTAAATAAAAAACATTCACAACTCAAAATATCTCAAATGTTCAGGAGAGGCGAAAAACTGTTGATGCTGCGCAAGCGACGCATGGTGTTCTATTTTGGAAAAAAAATTTACAAAATCAAGTATCTCCAGAGCGAGAGGAGAAGCAAAGTATATAAGCTACTGTATTTTTTTTGCCATTGCGACAAATAATCCATTTGCAAGCTATTTTAGGTAAAAAACGGAACAAATAAGGGTTTTATTTTTAAGGTCAATTTAAAGGTCTGATTGAATGAAAAATTACTTTGATCACAAACCCGCCCTTCAGAAGCAAAATTTTTGTTTTGTTTTTGCTTTTTTTCAACATACAGCATGCAATGAACTTGAAAAAAAATGAGTGCCTTTTTCGGTTATTACGACTATGGAAAAATGTATGCAGCACAACAGCAAAAATATCGGCTTAAAACTTTTAAAATTTTCATTGAATATTGGTTTCAGGTAAAAACAAAAAAAAACCTTGCGATTTGAACGTCATCTTAAAGGTCAAAGTAATTATTTTACCCAACGATACTAAATATTCTTCCTGAATTATCTACTTCAAAATTCTTAAAATACTGTTTCACCTATTTCGCTATCTCTTCTCGTTATACTATCTCTTCTGGAGATACATATTTCGTTTTGTCCATTTTTTCCAAAATAGAACACTGTGCGACGCAAGCCAAACAAGAACCGTTTTAATAGTATTTTTTTCGGTTAAAGAAAAAAGAAGAAGATATTTTGGGGTACGTTATATAAATATAGTCTGTGAACTGATTTGTGTAAAAAAAATGCATTTTGAAAAATTTTTAGTTGTGACGGTTTTTGATTTAGGGTGAGATATATTTAAAATGTGTTTATTAGTGTTTATAAAGTGCTAAAAATATAGTTGGTTATTCCAGTTCATCGCATCAGTAAGTAGAGCAAATTGTTTTCTTTTCTTTCTACAACACTCAATGCCTTTCAATATTTGCTAAGCAATTTAGTGCGATTTTCTTATAACAAACAAATTTTTGATTTGCCGATAGATTGAAGCTATTATTACGCAAATCTGGCGATGTGATATTATTGCTTATGATTAGGCTTATGTATTCAAAAATTTAGAAATTTTATGCCCAGCTATTAGTCATACAAATAATACAGAATTTCGCATCACAGGTAAGCAAAACACACTTTTAGAGAAATCGAATCTAAGTATATCATATGGACGTATTTTACGCATAAATATATATACATATACTTTTTATTTATATCAGTGTGTATTTCAATATAGTATTTACATACCAAATTTATTTAAATATTCAATAAACTTTAAGTACATACACGTTTACATAGTATTGTATATGGAAGCATAACTTACAGTCTACTTAAATTGGTAAATATCACTTATTTAATGGACGTGATGTTTTNTTTTTTTTTTTAAGAATTCACATTTGCTCTCTAATATCTTCTTCAATGATGTATTTGTTGCTTATTCAAACAATTCACCAATGATTTCTCATTAGTTTACAGCTAAATAAATTACTAATTTTAAGTACATGAGTGTATAATTGACGTCACAGGTGTACTTTACATACGAGTCATAAGCGATTCATAAAAAATTGAATCTTGTAGATATTAAATTTTTTTTGCCAAAGTAACTAGCTTTTAGCTGCTTTTATAGAATTTTTTTTATTGATATTTGCATAGGGGTGTAGGAAAATGAACAGTAGGGTGAAGCTAAAAAATCAATTTTTCAATTTTGAAATTCTAGAAGAATTCTCCAAGAACCTTAAAGTTAGTAAAGTAAAGTGTAGAGTTTTTCGGTCCCGCCTAATGCGCTTAATCAAATCAATGGCTCGAACAAAACAACGAACCTCCCGACTGAGATACTCAATCAAGCGAGGTGGTAGGTATAAAGTATTTGCTTCCATAAGATTGATCATCTCTTACACGATCGGCGCCAATATAATGATGATCTTCAGCGAATGCCTAATTAGCTTAAGTAGTCGTGAAAGCTTCCTTTACTGGGCCGACGTGTAATACTTTCACAATTTTTATACTGATGATTCAATATATAATATCATTTAATTAAGGGTCATTACGCCTCTCGTACGACAGATCTTCCAAATACGTTATTCGCTCATTTTTTACCTTTACTGTCTCTCGATAGAAAATCCTCTCCCCAACTCCGCTCTTCTCGCTATGGCAAACATATCCTCAAATTCGTTCAAAAGGCGTGCACACCACCATTTGGTTTCTCCGAAACAGGCGTCACTGCAAGCGCTTGATTATCATACGAATACTCTGTCACCACAGTTGTTGGTGTAGTGCTATTCTCCGCCGGATAGCGTGTGCTGACTGGTGTTGTCATTGTCATTACCGAACCTTCAGCGCCTAAGAAAAGAAACATTAATTTGGATTTTAAAAATAAAAGTGTTAATTTAAGATTACTCTCTCCCTTTCAAATTTCTTACGCATTCCTCTTTCACTTACCCGTTACACTAAATATCTGCGATGGCGCACGCTCCATATCACCATTTATGGCCATCACATTGGATATTGTCGCTCCCACTACCATATCCTTGCCATTTGTGCCAGTGCCGGCGGCTTCATGCTGCTTGTGCAGCTTCTTTAGCATTGATGTGAAGATGCGATTACGTCGAAACCAACGTACACATTTGTATATATATCTTATAGCAATGAGTGCAAGCAAGACGATCAACAATATCAATATGGTGTTCTGTTGCTCATGAATGCTGTGAATTTCGGCTTTGAGTGGATCGTATTTGTTGTATTCTGAAAAACCGAGGTTAAAGAAGATTAAAGTAAGTATGATGAGCTTACATCATCATTATATAAATAGGCAATCATGTTTCCTTTACACCCCTTTTACGGCTAAACAATACTTCTAAGGTATAAACAATTATATATCATTAGAAAGGTATTTTGATGCTGATGTGCAGGCAATTTTTAAAATTTCAAATCAGTTTAAAATAGAGCGAAAAAATCAATTCAAAAGTCACACCAATACCAATGCCATACAGGTACATGGTTGGGGCGGAAATGCCCCCTAAATGTATGCATTAATATTGATAGCGAATTAAAGAAACGTGCTAAGCAGCAGTTTAGGAATAAGATGTACGTATGTACATATGTACATGAATAGATTAGACTCAAACAAGGAAGAAGGTAAAGTTGAGTATGGAGAAGAAGAAAGGGATAAATACAGAAATTAAAATAAAAGTAAAGAAACCTAGATATAAAGACAAAGAGGAAGGAAAATTTAAATACCTAACCTAATAACAATGGTGGGGGTGAATATGTAAATGAAGAAAAGAATGGACATATTTAGATC